AGGGCCATGAGGCGCCCCCCGCTGCGGTGTTCCAGCAAGTTTTGGGGCTGAGATCAAGGCCAATGTGCGAAGGAAGCGCTATGCCATCCAGGGCCTCAAATGGCAGCATAATGAGATCACTTTCTGGTGAGTCCAACAGGCAAGTGGCCTTTCTCACGTCGGGTTCCCCTTCCCTCTCAGTTGTGCTTAGAGACTCAGAGGCCCCCTGCCCTACTCACCTTGTTCCTGGGAAGCCTCCTTGGGAGTAGGGAGGAAAATGGCTCTAATCCTGGAGAGAGATGCAGCCTGTGGAGGGTGTACCCCAGGGCTAGAAGGCCAAAGCCTGAAGGTCCCCTGGGCCCTCAGTTCTTGGGGCAGAGGCATTGTGAGGTGGCAGGAAGAGCTGGGTCAGACAAAGGTGGCTGGGTGGTTTGGCCAAACCTGGGAGAGTCCAGGGAAGGAGAGTTGTGCCTCTTGTTATCCTAACACACTCCCATCCTCTCCCCACGTGGCTGGACCTCAGCATCCAGAACTACACCCCCAAGGTGGGCGAGTACGCCACATTCGAGGCCATCCGCAAGGCATTCCGCGTGTGGGAGAGTGCCACGCCGCTGCGCTTCCGAGAGGTTCCCTATGCCTACATCCGTGAGGGCCACGAGAAGCAGGCTGACATCATGATATTCTTTGCTGAGGGTTTCCATGGTGACAGCACACCCTTCGATGGTGAGGGTGGCTTCCTGGCCCACGCCTACTTCCCAGGCCCCAACATTGGCGGGGACACCCACTTTGACTCTGCTGAGCCCTGGACCGTCCGAAATGAGGATCTGAATGGTGAGTGAAGTAGCCCTGGGATTCTTATCCCTGAGACAGTCAATAGTCATTTGTACGGGGTTCTCCAGCCTCCTCCCCAAGTCTCAAGGCTTTGGGGGACCACAAAAATCTCCTGGTCTGACTTCCAATGAAAGCAGGAATCCTGTCCTGAGTTATTTACATCTGGTCCCTTCTCTCGCCCAATAACTGACTTCTTAGCCATAGACTTCAAAGCTTCCGCATCATCCACTTTTCCAGGCAAATGTTATGGCTGGCTCCTGGGAGAAACTGGGGCCCACATAAGGCCTTAGCTTCCTTTATCCTAACTCTTGCTGGGACTGGGATCCAGCCCCAGAACACTCTCTCACCTCCACCCAGGAGAGTTGATGACTGATGTTGTGCCTCGGCTGCCAAATATGAGTCTGGACCTTAGGATTTGGTCGCTTTAGGTGGAAAAGATGGCAGGCAGGCTTCAGTGTGAACCTGAAGCTTTTGGTGGGGAAGCAGGGGTCTGAGGGACAGGACCCAGGCTGCCATCATAACCATCCCCATCCCTCCAGGGAATGACATCTTCCTGGTGGCTGTGCATGAGCTGGGCCATGCTCTGGGTCTTGAGCATTCCAATGACCCTTCGGCCATCATGGCGCCCTTTTACCAGTGGATGGACACGGAGAACTTCGTGCTGCCTGATGATGACCGCCGGGGCATCCAGCAACTTTATGGCAAGTATTCTGCACCCACATCTGCTCCTTTCTGCTCCTTATCCCTTCCTGGTCTCTCAGGCCTGTGCATTCTCCCCTCATGCCCTGCAGTAACCCCCACTCCCCCCCACACCCCCTCCCCACCTGCCCCTGCCCCCATCCACTCCCACTTTTGATCCCGTCTTTTCTGTCCTTCCCCAGTTGATTGCTTCAGCCTCCCCTCCCCTAAAGGTCCTTCCACACCTTTACAAAGGTGTCATCTGCCCCTATGTCTATTCCTTCCTTCAACTCTGCCACCAAGTCTGAAGTGCCCTTCATGTTCTCTGCCCCAGGGAGTGAGTCAGGGTTCCCCACCAAGATGCCCCCTCAACCCAGGACCACCTCCAGGCCCTCTGTCCCTGATAAGCCCAAAAACCCCACCTATGGGCCCAACATCTGTGACGGGAACTTTGACACCGTGGCCATGCTCCGAGGGGAAATGTTTGTCTTCAAGGTGAGAGGAAGAAGTGGGCTGGTCTAGGGGACAGAAGGGCTCTCTGGCTGGGAGGCTGGGTGGAAAGAGCAGCAGGAGGACTAAATACTAAAACTGAGGCAGGGGGAGCTTTGGGGACTGAGCTGGAAGACTAAGCTACAAGACATAATGAACTGCCTCCCAGGAGCGCTGGTTCTGGCGGGTGAGGAAAAACCAGGTGATGGATGGATACCCCATGCCCATTGGCCAGTTCTGGCGGGGCCTGCCCGCATCCATCAACACTGCCTATGAGAGGAAGGATGGCAAATTTGTCTTCTTCAAAGGTAACCAGACATTCTGCCTTAGTCTTTGGGTGAGGGGAGGGTCTCCCTGGAGGAGCAGATTCCACTTGACTCCTCCAAGGATCCTAGAGCCCAGGTGGAACCCCAACCCTGCCCTTCCCCCTCCAACCCCAGGAGACAAGCACTGGGTGTTCGACGAAGCTTCCCTGGAGCCTGGCTACCCCAAGCACATTAAGGAGCTGGGCCGAGGACTGCCTACTGACAAAATTGATGCTGCTCTCTTCTGGATGCCCAATGGAAAGACCTATTTCTTCCGAGGAAACAAGTAAGACCTCAGCCCCTTGACCCCAGTCCTCCCTCCTCAGACACCACCACCAGATTCCCTTAATTCTGGAGGAAGACCCACTTTCCCCCTGGGATGTTTCCCTGAAGAAGGGAGCTGGCTGAGCTTCTGCTGTTGCCTAGCAATGGGCAGCCTCCACTAGGTGCTGAGTGAGTGGGATATGACCGGGTCACCATTTCAGACCTGGTCATTTGACGCCTCCTGCCCCCAGCACTGTCATTAAGGGCTGCTGGTGGCTCCTTGCAGCCTGGGCCCTCCCTTCCACCCCTCCACCCCCACCTTCCGCTGCTTTCAGCTTCAGGCCCTTATTACTCAAAAGCTCAGTCCCCCTCCCTGTCCACTGCCACCCTTTGCTCACTGGTGAATTCAGTCCTGGGTCCCACTCCCCTCCGAGGACATGCTTGGCATCCACCCACTTCCCTTCTCCTCCTGTCTCCCAGGTACTACCGTTTCAATGAGGAGCTCAGGGCCGTGGACAGCGAGTACCCCAAAAACATCAAGGTCTGGGAAGGAATCCCTGAGTCTCCCAGAGGGTCATTCATGGGCAGCGATGAAGGTGAGAGGAGCACGGGAGGTGTCCGTGAGGGGAGGTTGGGAACAGGGACTTAAGAGCAGGAAGGATGGAGAATATCGGGCAGACAGTAATGTTGATGAGAACAGGAGAGCCCTTGCCACGTGCCAGGCACTGAGTAAGTGCTTTCCACACTTCAGACCCCTTAATCCCCACCACTCCCTCCACCTGGTGCTAGAATTACCTGCTTTTACAGCTGAGCAAACTGATGTTCAGAAGGGCGAGGGGATTAACTCAGCTGGCCCGCACGCTGACAGGTTTTCTTCTGTCCTTCTCCACTCTTGTCTCCCTGACGCTGCCCCCACCTCTTGCCTTCCGTGCCACCTTCTTGCCGACCCTGCAGTCTTCACTTACTTCTACAAGGGGAACAAATACTGGAAATTTAACAACCAGAAGCTGAAGGTCGAGCCGGGCTACCCCAAGTCAGCCCTGCGGGACTGGATGGGCTGCCCGTCCGGGGGCCGGCCAGATGAGGGGACTGAGGAGGAGACCGAGGTCATCATCATCGAGGTGGACGAGGAGGGCAGCGGGGCAGTGAGCGCGGCCGCTGTGGTGCTGCCTGTGCTGCTGCTGCTCTTGGTGCTGGCGGTGGGCCTCGCTGTCTTCTTCTTCAGACGCCACGGGACCCCCAAGCGGCTGCTGTATTGCCAGCGCTCCCTGCTGGACAAGGTCTGACCCCCACTGCCGCCCGCCCACTCCTACCACGAGGACTTTGCCTCTGAAAGCCAGTGGCAGCAGGTGGTGGTGGGTGGGCTGTTCCCACCCGTCCCGAGCCCCCTCCCCCCACTCCCACCCCCCACCTCCCTTCTTCTCAGTCCCGTGACTGGCCTCTCCCACCCTCCACGCTGGCATTGCTTCTTCCCTAGACGGGTCCCCTGGGGGCTGAGCAGGGGCCGCCTTTCCAACCCCTGCCCCTCAGGGGCCCCCGTGGCTTGATGTACGTTCAGCCCCATCTGAATGTCTTGGCTCTGCACTTGAAGGCAGGAACCTCAGACCTCGCTGGTAAAGGTCAAATGGGGTCATCTGCTCCTTTTCCATTCCCTGACATACCTTTAACCTCTGAACTCTGACCTCAGGAGGCTCTGGGCTCTCCAGCCCCGCAAGCCCCCAGGTGTACCCAATTGGCAGCCTCCCACAACTCTTTCCTGCTAAAAGAAATCTAATCTTGTTGTGGCGGGGAGACCCTGAGAGAGTGAGGGGGTGGGAGCTGCACAGCCGCCCTAAGACCTTGGGAGGAAAGCTCAGAGAGGGTGAGTCCTCTCCCCACAGGTCTGCCTCTGCTCCACCTGCCCCCGAGAACATCCACAGAAGGAGCCTGAGCCATTAAGGACTAACCTGGGGCTGCAGAAACCCTTGACAGCCCCGCCCTCCCAAACGTTAGCCTCGAATGGGGAGGTCAGGGTTTCTAGAGCTGAGACCAGGGGGTGCAGCTACGAGGTGGGGTGGGGCCAAGGAGAGAGACTTGGCCCGGAGCCCTGGGGGTGAGCCTGGAGGCCCCAGAGAAAGAAACTTGCTCAAATGCAGGCAGCTGGGGTAGGGACCCATGGGCAGAGCAGTCAGAAGGGACAGGACAGGACCAAAAGGCAAACCAGGGAGGGGAAGCAGGAGTGCACAGCTGGGAGCCTGGCAGGCTAAGCCACCAGGGACACCACAGGGTGGGCTGTGGTACCCAGGGGAGGGCACATTTTATTGGAGCTCTCAGGAAGGGCCTGAGAAAGGCACACCTGCTCCTCCTTGGTGCCCTTGCTTCAATCAGACAGCAGAGAGGGGAAGACAGGGAGCCCAAGAAAGGAGCAGAGAGGGTACACACATCTGGGGACTGGAGACTTGGGACCTTAATGGGAGCGGCCACCTAGTTAGGGAGCTGAGGATCAGCCTGCCTCAGCCAGCCTCTGAGAAGGGGCAGGTGCCTGGGCATCTCTTGTCAGGTTAGCCCCTCACTTCCTGATGCCCCCTGCCCCTCAGCCCAGCCTACAGGTGTCCTGCCCCCCACCCTCCCCCCTCCCCCAGCCCACACATTTGTAGTCTCCTTCGGCCACTGAAGGTGGTCATGGTACCGGAGGCTTGGGAGAGTGAGACACCCTGGGGGGGGCAGTGAGAGGAGAGGGATGTCAGGGGTGGGGGGGCAGGGGGTGGGAGAAATGGGGTGAACGGTGCTGGCAGTTCGGCTAAAGTTGTCTTGTTTGGGGTTTTTTTTGTTTTGTTTAATGTATATTTTTATTATAATTATTATATATGAATTCCCTTCAAATCGTTCCTTTTTGTTAACAAGGGGCATGGGGAGGGGTGGGGGTGGGGGGCAGAGGCATCCGACCCCAGGAACCTGCAGGGCGGGGCTGGGTCAGTGCCCTCTAAGGACATTTTTGACCTTGTTCAACCTTTCCACGAAGAATAAACCGTTTCACATTCTTTGTGTGGCTGCAGTTTGTGTGCCTGGGATGTGGCTACAAGGGGGATGGAAAGCAGGAGGGCCATGCAGGGTTTTCAGTGAGGTAGGATTTTGGTATTTTTCATAAAGAAATGTATTTATTGGTGGATGAAAGGGATCCATAGTCCAGAGTTGGGGAGGAGGGCATCCTTCCTGGGGGCAGAAGAGTGGTCCACAGAGCCCAGCTAGCTGCTCTCTCTCAACCTGGCCTAAGAGGCTACCTTTGAGGCCCAGGACTGCAAAGGCAAGAGGAAGTGGCCAAGCTGGGGCCACTCGGAAAATCTTCCTAAATTGCGTTACCCTGTCGTGTGATCCAGCCGCAGATGCTCCAGTTCCTCAGGCCTCGTGCTGGCTGCTGGGGAAATCCCCCATCACCATCAGCCTCGGGCTCAGGGGGCAGGCACTTCTCCCCAGCCCTCTCCCAGGCCTGGGGCTCCCTTTCAGGGGCAGAAAGAACAGAGGGGAAAGGAAGAGGTTGCCCCACGGGCCAGTTAGGAGCATCTTGCCTCTAGCCAAACGGGTCTCACCACAACTGCCCAGGAAAGGCAGGGTGATCAGGTCGGAAGGACAGAATGACATGGCTCTGTCTTCCCCTTTCCTTAGAAATTGCTGCCCTAGACAGGGTTCCCAGGCTATCGACCCACCCTTCTTCCAAACCAGCCTGGAGGGAGGAATCGCTCAGTTGCTGAGTCAGCTCAGCTGGAGGGGAGCAGCCCTCTTTCTTCCCTCCTTCCCTTCCTGCCTCAGCCCAGCCCTCCCCAGGCTCCAGCCCAGGCCCTCTCCCCGGCCTGCCTCCAGGAGTCCCGGCCCCACCTAAGCCAGGCCTTCTATCCAGCTGCTATTCAGGGCTGGCTGGTGTGATTGCTTTGGCAGAAGGGGTACCCCACCTTCCTGCCAGCCAGCAACCTTGACCCTATGCCTGGCCTCCTGTGCCTCTCCTGCCAACAGCTGTTTGGCAAGGCCTGTGTGTCTCAGTGGAGTTGGACACCACCTCCCTGCCACCCTCACCAGAGGGGATGGGGACCCTGAGAAGCTGGCTCAGGGAAGTCAGGGGCGGGCGTCTGGGGGTGGTGGGGCCCGTGCGGGTGGCAAGGAGCTCAAAGATGAGCTCATGGCCCCTTTGTGTTTTTGTGGCCCACATCTGGAGGCAATTACAGATGTTATCCAGTGGGAGTTCTGCAAAACACAGCTGGAGCCAGTGGAGGAGCACGGGGCGGGGGGACTGCCAGAGGGAAGAGGAGGGGGAGCCTAGGGCTCCCGCGCGGCTGGAGTGTGGTTTCCCCATCACGAGGAAATTGTTTGGCCCTGATTCTGGAATCACAAGATGCTCTCTGAAGCCAAGGGGGAGAGATGGGAATGGAGGACCAGAGACAAAGGGGGAAGAGGTGGAAGAGGCTTCACGAGCAGGGAGAATTCCAGGGTGGAGGCTGCAAGGTCCCGTGCTTCTGACGCGCCTTGGGTCTGAGGGATCCAGCCCAGTGAGGCTGCTCAGGGACCCCACCAGGCCCCAGCTGAGTAAGCCACCAGGTCAGGCTGGGGTTAGGGGAGAGCAGAGGGTCCTGTGGCTCCCGAGAGCCCTGCAAACACTGCTTTCACTGGCCCTACCCTGCTTTGTCCATTGGGCCTGACCCAGTTTCTATGGTTCCAAGTTCCTTTATTCGAAAGCAGCACATGTGAGTTAGAGCAGCCAGAAGGGAGCCAAGGGGAATCTGTGAGGAGGTTTGGGCAGAACCCAGGGAAGCAAGCTCTAAGGAGACTGTACTGGGGGCAAGCATCGAGCAGAGGCTGTACTCTGCCCACCACTGTACCCCACACATTTTGAGGGGGAGTCACACCTCTTTTCTCTGGGGCCCAAGCTTCCAATGCTGCCAGCCAGGCGCTGGGTCAGTGGGATGGGACGGGAAGGGAAGATCTAAGAAGGACTGGGCCCTCTAAAGGAGAGGGGACTCAGCAGAGCAACCCCTCACAATCTGGCTAGCTCTTCGGGTCCTTCACTGCCCCTCCTCCAGGCCCCTTCTCCCCCACAATCTAACAGACTTCCCAGTCCTCTCTACCTTCTGTATCCCTGCTTCCTTTTCCAGCTAAGGGGACACCAACATCTCCTGAGGTCCTCACAGCACTCAAGGACATAGCACTAACTGCCCCCATTTTACAGATGCAAAAATTGAGGCCCTAATAAAACTTGCTCAGTCTCACAGCTCATTAGTCCAAAATGAAAACCCAGGTCTGTCTGATTTTTTGTTTCTATACAGGCAGATTCTGACCATGTCTCCTGGGGTCTCTTCCAGTGTAGGCCCCCGTGGAGCGGGCTGTCTGTGTGGCAGTGTGTGTTCTGTGGAATCTCAGCAGACGTGTGCCTGCCTGTGGTGCCATGTAGCAGGAGCGCAGAGGAGCAGGGCTTTTCCTCAGAAATCTGCTTGGCCAGGAGTCACCTTACTTCTTAGGGGCAGGAACAGGTATTTGAGGCAAGGGAGGAGGTAGCAGGACTGAAAAGTCAGAGGAACTGAATGGGACAATGGCAGCAGTTAAGGGAGGGGTGGGGGTGGGGAATGTCTGAGGCAGGGGCCAATGAGGAGGGGAGGCCTTTGGGGTGATTTCCATTCCCTAAGGTCCCAGGGAAACCCCAGGCAAGCTTGCTCCATGTTCTGCAATCCCTGGAACCCCTTCCAACCCACCCGCTCCAAATCTGAATTCACCTCCTTTAGGAGACCAACTCCAGTCATCTAGCCTGGGGGTTTCTGTCCTCCCTCAGACAGTCTTGGGAGACTAGAGAGACCCAGAGGCAGCCTTCAAGGGGGCTGGGCAGCCAGGGCCTGGAAGGGAGGCAGGCCTGACTGGCCAGAAGCCACCTTCCAAATGAGCTCACACACATACTTTCCACCCCGGCTGGCCCCGGGCCGGTGGCTGGGTGCCTTCCAGGCCAGCCTTCCCTGGGCAGGCCCAGCCCCCTCTGTCCTCCTCTGTCCCTCACCAGGCCTGGACCCCGGGGTTCCACAACAGGATCAGACACCCCAGGCCAGGCAGTCACTACACCCCAAGGGAGCAGCCCCCACTGCCTCCAGGCTGAGGCTGCATCTTCCCAGTTTCCCCTATTCCTTCATGGGCCCTTCGTAGCTTAGAAGAGGAGGAGACCAGCTTCCTGCCCCCAAAGACTCACACCTGGATAGGGAGGGGCAGTGGAGGGAAAGAAGAGGTGTCCCCACTGTAGTGAATTGGCGGAAGGGCTTCCTGAGAGAACCTGAAGTAGCTCATTGACTCAGGGACCAGGCCAGGTCTGGTAGCTGCCTCACCATGGGTCACATCCTGCCCACTCACTTCATTTCCCGCTAGGGGCACTTCCCTGATTTGGGACAGGATGGGGTCTGGGTGGGGCAAGGCCAGGTTGACCACAAAGCAGGGAAAAGACGGGTGCCTCCGAAGGGACCAGCAGATTCACACGCACGCGACAGGCTCCAGCTCATTTTGATCCAGCCTGTGGTCAAAGACGTCACCCTTCGTGCAGCTTCCAGAGACATGTAGCACCAGGCCAGAGAGCAAGATCAGTTCCCAGAAACGCTCTCCTTGGCCGCTCGTGCCTGGCTCTGTGCTCGGAACGCGGCTGCCCTGACCGAATAGCCTGGATCCAATAATATCTTCCTGAGGTTCAGATCAGACCCGGCAGACAACTCATCCCACTTTGGATTCCAAAAATATGGCCACTGCAGGTAGATCGCACAGCCGGCTGCTGCCCTCCGAGTCACTGGTGGTATAGTTCTGTCGAGGAATGACTATGATTCATAATAATACTGACCCCATCACGGCCACCAGACACATGTTCTGTCCTCACTCACTTCCTTACAAAAGAGAAGGATGGTATTGGGCTCATGGGAGTTTGATAAAAGTTTTTGACTTTATTTGCCAGTGAGAGCTGTGATAAACATACGTAAATAACTGCAGCTGTGAACACATAAGTGTTGTATACGTATGGACATATGTATGTGTATACATAAATAGAGAATATATAGGGTTTAAAAGCATTAAGCTGTACACTTAAGTTCATTACATTCTTTGAATTTTACTGTAATTTCACCTCAATCTTTAAAAGATTGAAAGAAAGAAAGAAAGAAAGAAAGAAAGAAAGAAAGAAAGAAAGAAAGAAAGAAAGAAAGAAAATCTATCGAAGTAAAGAGGTTCATAACTCCAGAACGACTGCTTCATCCCTATCGGTCTCCCCCTTATGTGCCACCCCTCCCCCACAGCCTGCACTTAACCTAGGAACGGTCCCTAATTGGGCTGTGTTGGCCCAGCTCTTCTGGAAACACCAGTCTTTCAGACTGCACTCCCAGAGCAGCCTGCACCTGGACCCTGGAGCACCCAGCAGGAAGGCCTCCTTCCTTGCACCCTCAAGCTCCGTGCCAGGTGTCCCTGAAGTCTCTCCTCCAGTCTACTCGCCTGTTTTCCAGAGATACCCTGCACCCCAGGCCTGCATGAAACTGCACACAAGCTCTGGGTGGAGGAAAGCTGGCGAAGGGGCCTGGAGGAACACCCACCCCCATTCCCTCTGGCTGGGCGCAGCCCCTCTGCAGCAGAGACCATCTGGACAGGGTTTGCAGGGTGGTAGCGCCCCCTTGTGCTGGGTGTTGGCACTGCAAACCAAGCCCGAAGAACTGAGAGGCCAGGGCAAAGCCAACAACAACCAGGGCTACAATACCATCCGCCTGTCCCAACCCCCTTTCCACTTTCCATGCTTCCGTCCAGGACACCTGTACTTAAAGGGGTGGGACTAGGGTGATACAGGATGACAAGCCTTCATCTTCCAGCAGCAGAGAAAGAAAAGTCAGAGTTTCCGTGGGCTGTCCCTCTGCGGGGGGGTTGGTGAACAGCCCTTGAACAACTCCAGGAAGAGGGAGTGGAGAGGGTGCAGGACTGAGGGTCTGAGAAAGCAAGGGAGGTGCTGGTGCCTTGTCCCCAGAGCTCCTTGGAGTTGCCACACTGCCCTCCTGT